ATTTACTCAGTTAGGAACTGAGTTAGGAGACCAAGTCTGGAGAAATATATTTGAAAACTATCCATGTACAATTTGTACATAGAAGGCAAATGAAAGTGGACCTTCAGAGTTGACCTTGACAGTGACCTTGATGAGCACAGTTTCCTTGCCATRGTACAAGCTAAATAAATGGTACAGGCTAAATCCTGACCAGAGTGAGTTTGAGGAGAGAATGGGATGCAAAAGGGCAGATATAGCAAGATTTGGCAGCTCCTTCCAATAGTTCTCTACCAAGAGGAGGAAATAAASAGGACCACATATTTGCAGCCAACTCCAGTGAGCTGTATGACTCTGGGAAGGCCCCTAACCCCTCTGTATCTCAGTTTCTTTACCTGAAAAACGAGTTCCTAATAGTTGTTAAGAACAAAATGAGTTAGTAAATGCAAAGTCTGCTGAACAGTGCCAAGGCACAGAGCAAGCACTGAGTAAAGATGCTTTATTCAGCACCTTGAATCATCTTGAAGGTTTCCCAGCCCTTATCTTTTCCTTTTTTCCTTCTTACCGTCATCTTCAATTTCTTAGTGTGTGGCTGCATTCAGCAGGTCAGAAATGTTGGCTTGGTCTGTCAGGTACACCTGGTCCCTGCTCCAAGGAGCACCGCCGGGCACTGGAGTCACCCGAGGGACTGCTGCTCATGTGTCTGGGCATTGATTCTGGCTGATGGCTGAGGCCTCAGCTGGTCCCTGTGTCCACGGCGCCCACACGTGGTCTGTCTATGGGGCTGCATGGCTTCCTCACCACATAGCAGCTGCGTCCCAAGAACAGGTCCAAAGAAAGAAGTGGAAGCTCTTGCTGTCTGAAGAGCTGGACTTGGAAGCTTGCTTACAATATCTTCCATCATTTCCTATTAGCCAAGGAGTCACGGAGCCCAGATTCAAGGGGAAGGGACATAGACTTCAGCTACAGGGAGAAGAGTGTCAAAGAGTGTGTGGCCACGTTTTGATACTACCTGAGGCACCAGGCACACTGGGCAGGAGGGAAACACGGGTGATGATCTAACCTGCAGGCAGGATCCATTGTCATCCAGGGAGACAGCTGCAAAGAGCATTTGGAAGATACACCAAGCAGCACCATTTTGGTCTCAATCTGGGCTGCCATTCTGTAGGACTCGGATTCTGGACTCTACTGGATTTTTCACCYTGTTCCTGCACCACATTCCTGGCCAGTCCACACACTGGATATYGCTGTTGCAAGGGGCGGGGGTTTGCCAAGAAACAACCCTTTATCAACACGGGTGAGGAGGAAGTGGCATTTGTGTYGTGTGCTTCGGGGCCATGTGGTGGAATGAGGGTGCTTCCGTTTTTCTTGAAGTGTGGTTTCCTCTTCCATGACAGTTGATAAGAGAGGTTGGTTTCTGGCTAGAACGAACAGAGCTGATGGGAGGGTGTGGATTCGTTACCGACCTGGGAAGAAGCAGCTGGCTGAGTGGGATGAGTTAAAACGAGGAGGATACTTATGTAGGTGTGAGCAGGTGTGTAGGAAATGGGTCCAGGTAGGCGCGTGCTGGATCTTACCCCTCCTTGGCCTGAAGGGTTACAGCAGTGCAGAGGGGGATTTAGTCTGCAAGAGAAGAATCCAACCTGCTCAATGTGTGGTTCCCGCAGGGAGGAGGGAGCTGGGAAATGAACACCCACCTTTGGCCCCTCCATCCCTCCTGCCCTTCTAGGTCTTCCATTGGCCAAACTCGGCTGCAGGACGGAGCACAGGAGGGGCCGGTGATGAMGTTTGTAAATACAACCTGTCAGTGCAGAGCAGGGTACAGAGGGTGGGGAGCAGATTCATTTTCACAGTGGTCCAAAGTGAAGTGTTAGAGAGTCGCTAAATTCTGAGAGGGGACTCCATCATATCAAACCTTTCCTAGAGTGAGTACCTGCTCCCTGAGTTTGTGGAAGGGCCACGGTTCTGTGACGTGCGTACCCAGGCAAGGTGAAATGTCCAAAGTGGAGTGAGGAGAGGAAGGTCCYCGGCAGACCTTATCTGATGGCTTCTGCATTTGTTATCTCTTGGTTTGTTCACTGCTCAGGGGTCACTTTACTGTGCGTCTGTATCTCTCTTGGTGGCCTTGAATTCAAATTCTCCATACAGACAAGCTGAGGGGAACCATCAGTTGACACCAATATAGACCCCTGTTCCAGAAGGACTTCCCTGGTTGGCTGCCCCTCGGCTTGCTGGTTGACATTGGGACCAACTAGTGTTCCCCTGGCTGTGGTTGGGAGGTGACGGCCCCCAGTACCAGGGCTGACAGCGCAGGTGCAAAGAACTCCTTCCAGTCCACCACGGGAAGCAGATCAGTTACCTCGGGCTTTGTAACAGACCACCCTCCCCATTTACTTTTCCCCTTGGAACAGTTTTATTCATGTTTAAAATCATGCAACAATTCGTAAGTATTGCATCCTTGATGTCCCCACTGAAGTGTGCCCACAAGTGTAGGCCAAAGTGAGAGGGGTACACAGATGGCACCACCAGCATCTCACACACACACACACACACACACACACACACACACACACACACACGCGCGCGCGCATGCGCGCGCGCCAGATGTGCAGGCCCTAAAGCAAATTGAGCAACCAAGATGCCTACACCCCTGAGTGTACCTGTGCCTTCAGGGAGAAGCCAGGCCCTTTCCACTCTCTGGGCAAATGCTGATAACGACTGTCTCTCCAGATGATGACCAGGGCAGGAGAGGGGCAGCTGACCTGTCCCCAGTCAGGCCACCTGGGGCCTGCTCCTTTAGATGGGCTATTTCTGCTTGACTTCAGAGTTGGGGATGGGGAGGAAACAGGAACTGAGCCACAGAGAGTAAAGGGTCTCTAACCCAGGGGTGTCCCTGTGTGGAACGGAGGTCTTCCTGGGAGAGGACCCAGCCCTGGCTGTGAAGGACACAGACACTCTGGGAAGGGCAGCCACAGATGGCCTCCACTGGCCACTCTGCCTGTTCACCTGAGTCTCCTGCGTCCCGGCTGCTGGCCTCATCCTCCCAGGTCACTCCACACTCAGCTTCTGCTGGCCCCAAGAGGAGGGGCTCTGTGTGCCCACCCCCCAGGGAAGCCCCCTGTTGCCTGCTAATTCCGGGCTCAGACTTCAAGGAGATGGGGCAGTGGGCTTATTGCTCAAYGCACGCTGGCTCCAATCTGAAGCAGGAAGGGAGGGACACGGGGTGWGGTGCGGTACTCAGAGGGCAGACACTCATCAGGACCGGAGACAGTCACTACAGCCCTCATCTCGGTGCCACACAGAGCTGCCAAGGACCCCCAGGCGCTGGGATTCCTCTGTTTTTGAAAGCTCTTGCAGGTAACCACTGCAAACCCTAAGACAACCTGCCCCCGTGGGCCCAGCCCAAGGCTCTCCGCATCTCATCTTCACGGATATTTGTTTCTAACACTGATTCCCAGACAACCCCACACCTGCTAAACAACCTCTGATGTTTTATTTATTTTATGTCTTTTTTGCCCATGATTTTGTGGTGGGATGGGCCTTTGTTCTGAGGTGGACCGGCTCGGATGGCCTTTGATGGGCTCTTTCTTGGGTCTGTGGCCATTTGGCGGGTTATCGAGTTGAAGGGGTTGTTTGACGTGGCCTCTCTCACACATCTGGCAGGCTGGCCACCGAGGGAAGGGCAGCTGGGGACCGTGCCTTGATCCTCACCAGCGTGGCCTCCTGCAGGCGAGCACCTTTCCTCCCCATCAGCTATTGCTCATTGGTCAGAGCCAGTCGCGGCCAAGCTCAAGCCGGGGTGGGGACAACCACGCTCAAAGGTGGGAACTCTCCCATGGCCTGGGCGGGCACCATGCACATGCTGCACTGTGCTCCGAGCACCCAGAACTTGATAATGACAGTCTTTTTACAGACATCTGAAGGGTGTCAGGAGTTCCTCCTGGGTTGGGGCATTTCGGTTTTGCATTTTGAAGAAGTGATACTCTCCACTTCAGAACCTTTTCATGTGCCCTTCAAAACACCATGTGGCAAACACTTTGAGAGTCGCAGGGAGGTGCTCACTACCGGCCTAGGAAGATTGTTTGAATATTTTATTRCACAGACTCATTAATTCATAGAATGAAGTGGGAAACAGAAATGAAGATGCTGCTGTTGGGAATAACAAGGCCTGTGTCAGAAATGTTCAGGACGAGCAGGAGATAGCAAGGTGTGTCTTTGGGTTTGCCAAGGCAAGGGGTGTCTGCCATATTTGTGCTGGAGTTTACTAAAATATGAACCCAGACCCGTTTCCCAGCCCTACTCTAGAGACCACTGAAGAGACTGACCAGCCTAATTGAGGACTGTGATTATATTAGGTGGGCCGCCTCGAAGACCAAGGGTACGTACGAGTACTAGGGTATTTCCCCAAAATGGTCACGTGGGAAAGGGACCACGGGTGCCAGGTAACACAGAGATGCCCTGTCTCCCTCCCACACTCTGTCCTTCAGCTCTCACACTAAGAATTAAAGGAACCTCTTCAAAGTTGGATCCATTTCCTTGGAATTGATGGGAACTCACATCACTCTGTTATCTTCCCCTCGCTGAGTACCATCACCACTTCCACATTTATTTCCAAGGCCCTTGTGATCCATCTGGGAAATGCACTGTTTAAATTATGGTGAGGAAGAGAGAACTAATGGGTCTTGCATTATGCAAATGCCCCAGCAAACAACCCAGCCCTTTTGCCCAACCACAGGATTCCTTGGGAAACTGCTAGAGATAAGTAGGGCAAGCTTCCTCTTTCGCTAGCACTGAGAAGTTACCCGACGGGGTGAGAAGCAAGGACTTTCCGTCTTTGAGGTAAGCAGGTCCTGGTTTAGTAACTTCCCATGGCAAATGGATGATGTTCTGCTTGTGATCTTAGCTGGCTCTGGGAGGGTCAAGTAGGACTTCCACGCCATGTACCTTAGCTCTTGCTGCACGGGCGTCTTCCTCGTGTTCTCTCCTCCTGCTTGGTCAAGGAGTGTGGGTGGTGTGATGTGGCAATGGGGAGCTACCGGGGTGCTTTGGCACATTCGGGCGAACTGTGCGTTCAGGGGCTTCAAGAGAGGTGAGATGACAAGACTGCAGGAAGAAGAATCTAAAGCAAATGTGGCTTAGAGCCAATTTGTTGTTTAAATGAGGAAAGAGGGTCAAAGCTCAGGTCTACTGAGGTCAGGTGAGGGATCCACAGCTTCCACACACCTTGCCTCCCCCCCCCCCCCCCCCGTATGGACACATCAGGACAATTAAATGCCAGGGTCACCTTGGAAGGCAGTGTCCTTTATTCACGGACAGAGGCATTTACAGGCTAAGCTCTTTGAACCAGCTGGGGAGGACCCCTGGAGGCCTGGCTGTGAGGTCGGCCTGGTGGTCACATGGGCATTGCTACAGAGGAAATAAAGGGACTGTAATTCTAAAGCATCACAGGCTGCAGGCAGTGAGGGTCATTCTCTGAGACTTGGTTCAGTTCTCTCTCTGTCTCTATCACGTAAATGAATTTTCTYTTTTTGGCTGTACTTGACCTTGAACCCAAGGCTCCGGCATGCTGGACAAGCTTGCYACCACCGAGCGCCTCGCCCAGCCCCGTGTGGTGGATTTTTTACATGGGATCATGGCTCCGAATTTTTCCAGTATTTACATCATTAATGGCCTCAGCTGCTCTGACTCACATTGTCACCTCTTCCACATGAAAACACTAGCTTTAGTTAGATTGTTTAGATGGGGACTGGGGAAAGAGCTGTCCACCTCTGGTCAAGGGCTCTTTACATGAGAGTTTCAGACCCACAGCACATTCTAGGGTGGCTCTTTCTGAAAGGAGGAGAAGCATGAATCCCAAAGGGCCAAACAAGTGAGGGGTGGGGAGGCCCTCGGAAGTGCCCAGCTAACTCCAGGGCCAGGACTCGGCCCCCAGGGTCCAGTCAGGCACTGCTGTCCCAGGCAGAGTGCCAGCAGGCGCCTCCTGGGTTCTGTGTTGGGAAACAGTGAGTGCAGACGTCTCCAGCCAGAGCCTGGGGTCTCCGGCTTTCCCTAGTGTCTTGGGTTAGCATCTAGCCTAGGCGCCGGGCCGTGTGCCCTCGGGACACGGTCCTGCCTGAGCTCTGGAACTCCGGCAGACTTCATCCAAGTCTTAGCTGCGTGTTTTCCCAGCAGAGGGAACTTGAAGTGAGGGATGAGTTTCCTTAAACCTCAATTTCTTCACCTGKAGAGTGGGGAGATGATTAAGATCTCAATCATTAGCCGGTTGTCAGATTTCAATGACAGAAGGCTCACCTGACTAAATACTTCGTGACTGAGCACTCAGTAAGGTGCTTGGCCCACGGTGGAGCTCTAGAAATGATTTCAGGAAGTGGTAATGGAAGGGCTGAGAGAAATATTTGTAGCAAACTTTGATTGACACACAGGATTCTAACTCACAAGATGCTGCTGATTTGTGGCTCATCAAGAACCAGGGATTCCAGCCGGGCTTGGTGGCATGATGGGGAGGCCGAGGCTGGAGGTGGCAAGCTTGAGGCCAGCCTGGATGACTTAGTGAGATCCTGTTTAAAAAAAAAAAAACACATTAAGAAAAGGGGTGGGGATGTGAGGCAGTGGTAGAGGATTTGCCAGCATGCATGAGGCCCTGGGTTCCATCCCTGGGACTGCAAAATAAATAAATAAATAAGAGGTTCCACGGAGGCCTCCTCAGACCACGACTTTGTTCTGTGGGGACTTCATAGGACCCTTGTTAATTCTCATTACCACTACCAGYGAGTAAGGGATCAGACTTTAGTGTGAAAGATGTGGCTGTAATTAGAGTCAGGGAAGGTGTGTGGGACACATGACCATCACCATCACCCTTATCACTGTCACCATCACCACCATCACCCTCACCACTACCATCACCACCATTACCATAATCACCACCATTACCACCATCACCACACAACCATCACCACCATCACCATCACCATCATCACCATCACCATCACCATCATCACTGTCACCATCACCATCACCATCACCCTCACCACTACCATCACCATCACCATCACCCTCACCACTACCATCACCGCCATTACCATAATCACCACCATTACCACCATCACCACACAACCATCACCACCATCACCATCACCTGCTGGAGTCCTGCCCCACTGGGATCCAGGGGGTCCTGAAGGATGAGTGGTGTTGGTGCAAGGGATGAGACAAGGAGCAATCTCCAGAGAGAAAGCTCTAAAACTGCTCTCTCTGGGTCTCTTTTTATTCTGCCTTTTCTCATCATTATGGGTACAGAATCATTAATAAAATGCGTCATCAATTTACAATTTTCAGATTTCCCAGGATGTAACATTTCCTTGTTTAACAGATGTAAACCACGTAACCGGACCCTATGTCTCCAACCTGTCATTAACCTTGACGTTTAAAGCACACCTGTGCTTTATTTCTAAGATCCCCTCTAAAGTCCCCTTATTACAATCTTATAATATATTCTAGGTGCCTACATTCATTCTCATAAAACTGGTTGAGCTACTTTCTCAGAGAGTTTCTTTGTTCCTTAGTCAAAGTACAGCAGTTCTTAAATATTTGCAATCTTTAACTAAGGGCAGGCTCTGTATGTCAGTCCCCCTGTGCTGACATTAACTGTGCTTATCATAAATCCCTGGGGAGGGTAAAGGAGGGTCTGGAGAAGGGAAGTGTGTTTTTTATTAGCCTTTTCTCCCCCGGATGAATACCATAACCCATCCTCAATCAAACAGGCTATAGATGGTGGGCTTCATGCAATAGGCATAATAACTATCTGCTTAGGCTTTTTAAGAGACTGAGGACATGAATTTGGATTCGTAGTTGATATAATCAATTGTGATGCCTAAAGTTCCTGTAGCTTTTCCCAGAATGATTGTTGATATTTTTCTATTTTGACCTCAATGTCCTGAGAGACAGTAAAACAGCCTTTTAAATCATGAACCACCTGTTATATTTTTGGCCACCTAGAATTTAATTTGATTTACCAATAAGTATACTCATGCCTTCTGTTAGGTTTATGAGTATAAAATAAAAAGTCCCAATTATATATAAAAAAAAGGGTCTCATGGTTTTGGTTTCCCACAAGTGCAGTCTGGCCAAACACTTTCATCCTCACTGTGACCTTGTCAAGACAGAGGGAGGGGGACCGCCTTGACCAGTCACCATCATCACTATCAACACCACCATCATCACCTTCACCACCACCATCACCACCATCACCCCCATCATCACGACCATCACCACCATCACCATAATCACCACCATCACCACCATTATCATGACCATCACCTTCATCACCATCACCACCACCACCACCACCACCACCACAAACATTATGTCACATCTGCCATCGCCATAGCCATGATTTCCCCCTCTAATACAACCATCACTATCACCTCTCCATTACCATTACTACTACATCCACCATCATCACTGCTGTCACCATCAGGACCATCACCACCACTGTCACCACCACCACCATCACTGTTCCGAGTCCTCTTCAGTCCTTGCCATGTGCAGGCGGGTGCTGCATGCTACGGAAGGTCATCTCACATGCAGTGAAGTCTGTTCTTCTTGGCTCCATTTTGCAGATGAGAAGCAAAGACCAGGAGGCTGTTTTATCAGCTGCATTGATGTGACCAAAATACCCGACACAAACTATTTAGAGGGAAAGTTTACTTTGGTTCACAGTTTCTAAGGTTCTGCCCACGGTCTACCAACTCCSTTGCTCTGGGTCCAAGGTGAGGCCGACCGTCATGGCAGAAGGAGGAGGTAGAGGACAGCAGCTCAGGACGTGAAAACCAGGAAGCAGAGGGCTCTGCTCGMCAGGGGAGAAATATAAAACCCCAAAGTCAAGCCCCAGTGACCCACCTCCCCAGCCACACCCTACCTGCCTCCAGGTACTGCCCAGTTAAAGCGTCAGGGGATTCACCCAGGGATCAGGTCACACCTCTCACGACCTAGTCATTTCATTTGTGAAAATCCTTGCGTTGTCTCACACATGAGCCTTTGCAGGGGACACCTCATATCTGAACTGTAACAGAGGCAACATCACAACTTCAGGACCACTCAGCTGTAGCTGCAGACCTGGGGCTCAGGATCTCCTGTGTACTGATGTGTGAGGCCAGCGCCCCGTGGGCGACGCTCTGGGAGACAACTGCTTTATCAACAGGCAGGCCCTGATGGATCCCAAACCCGGAGAGCAAAGCAGAATGTGCCCATCCAAACAGGAGCAGGGAGGAGGGTTCAGCAGCCAAGGGAAACCGTGTTTGAAAGTCGTTTTGTTTCCTTTCCCATGGAAACACTGAATGCTTTATTGCTAAGGCAATGCCCCAAATTTAGAATTACAGTTAATAAAAAGAAATATGAAGTCACTCAGACATCTCCCGTTAACATCTGTGATTGAAGCGTGCTATTCTCTATCGGGCTCTACGTCCTGTGCTGATCTCAGGTGCGTCCAGGGTGGTTCTGAGAGCCCGTGTGGCACTGGTTCACGGTTTCCAGCTGTTGGCTCGGGCGGGGTTTCCTTCCACCTACTCAGCCCCGTCCGTCTCCGTGGGCGGCTTTACCGCTTCCACTTGGGTGGATTAGCAGGTTTGCACAGCACTTTGTCTTGGTGTAGGCACCAGAACTTTTCTCCATTCACATGCTCTCAGGAGGGTGCTTTTTAAATTTTATAATGATACCCATTAGGCAAACCCAATGCCTTTTCCCGCATTTGTTATTGGTGCTCTACGGTTGTACACACTGGCGGGATTTGTGGTTACATTTCCGCACCTGCCACCACATAACAATACAATCTGGCCAGTATCACTCCTGTACCTTCCCCTTACTCCCCAAGTCCCTTTTCTCTGCTTGTCTCCCTTAGATTTTCATGAGGTCCACCCCCCACAACCTTCTTTCTTTTTTCTCTGCAGCTTCCATCTAGGAGAGGAGACCCTTGACTTCCGAATCTGGCTTATTTCATGTAATATATCGTGCTCAAGTTCCACCCATCTTCCTGCAAATGACATAATTTCATTCCTCTTTATGGCTGAATAAAATGCCTTTTAAAGTCTTGGAAGGCTCACTGAGGGTGAGGTAGAGCACTTCTACTATTATGACCTGTAGAAATGAATTTTTGAATATGAAAGACGTGACGTTCATTTGGTTCAAGAGGCAAAACAAAATGGTGAAATATGAGTTTCCTGGATCCACAGCTCTTTCTCAATGGCAATTGTTTTTGTGAATTCTTACGTTTGCTTTGGGAGTATTTTATGCAAACACAGAAGCACAATATGCTATGCCTTCAGTGCATTTGTTTGTGCATGTGTGTGTGTGACGTTGCACAGAGTGTCACACATGCATAGATCTCACTGTATACAGGATGCTAACATTTTTGCAAAATGGAGAGATATTTTTCCTGTTACATAAATGCATTATTAATAAATGTCTACCTATTTCTAATMGTTTATAGTGTGCTGGCATTTCCTACATCTCTCCTAGTTTTCACAAATGTTAGCAGGCAAACTGCCTTTTGGTATTTATTTATTTATTTACTTAGTAGTATATTTCCATGATCATTTCCCCGCCCCCACGCCTTCTTGTTCTGGAACCTTCTGAACATGTACGAATGTAGCAACAAAAGCATAGTGAACCCCGCGGACCCCTCGCCAGCCCCAGCTGTGATCCGCTGCCAGCTGATCTTGCTTCCTCTTTATTCCCGCTTGCTGCCTAAAACACTCATTCTACCTAATTATTTCTTAGGTAAATCCTGGTCATGTTTTTATTTCACCAGCAAATGTTTCAGCACGAGTCTCTGAAAGGTCAGGATTCTTTAAAAATACTCACTCAATCATGCTTGCAGCTTCTTTGGAGCATCCACATGAATCGACAGATGAGGAAACCAGGGTGAATGTCCCCAGGAAGAGGAACTCTCTTCCTGAATCTTGTTCATGACTAGCATGTGTTGATGTCCTTTAGTGGCCTTCAGTGACAGTGTGCACTGATCAGATCCAACCTCCTGTGACCTCCCTCTCCCCACCTGCAGCACCTGACCTCTTGCAGTCACTACCCTGTATTCAGGTCACTTTTTTAGCTTCCACCAAGGAGAGAAAATATGCGGCACTTGTCTTTCTGTGTCTGGCTCATTTCACTTACCATAATACCCCCAGCTCCATTCATTTCTCTGCACATGTCAGGATTTCCTTCCTCACTGGGGCTGTAAGATTGTGTGGTGCACATGGTCCACGTTTCTTCAACCATCACCCAGGGACTCCATACCTGAGCTATGGTAGGCTGCGACATAGCAAGCCACACAGCGATGGGCGCCAGCTGCCTTCTGGGTGGGCTGTTCATTTCCTGTGGACGCAGACTCAGAAGCCATAGAGCTGGATCACATGTAGATCTATTTTTAGTTTTTCGGGGGAACTTCCACACTGTTCTCCACATGGTTGTACTAATTACCTTGCCACCAACAGTCTGSGACTTCTTTTTTCTGCACATGCTCACCCTGTGACCCTCACAGGCTGGTGCTCTCGGGATTTCTCATTGCAGGAGCTCCCGCATCCTCCCCAGAGACCCTCGATCGCTGCTCCCCGAGGCCGGTGCTATGGAAAGCAGGTGGCTGGCCCTGCTCTCAGGTGAGTGCCGCAGAAACCCTACCTTTGTTTTCTCCTCTCAATGTGTCATTTCCCACCTCCAGCTGCACGTGCCTGTCGTGTTGTGACCTCACATTCTAAGTTCCTTGGTGGGATCCCCAGGGAGCCCTTCCAACAAAAGGTTCTGGGGCAACTGCAAAATCCAAAGGAGACCAAGCAGCACAAGACCTTGACCCAAAGCTCACATTTTATGCAAAGAAAAGCCTCAAAATGAGTCACTGGTGAATACGCAAAACAGAAAGCTAAAATTGTAGGGGAAAAAACCTCAGAGATCTTCAGGACATAGAACTGTGCGAGGTGTCCTTAGGCTTGACCCCAAAATGCGTTCTGTAAATGAAAGACTGATGAAGCAGGCTTCAAAATTTACAATTTTGAAACACACGCTAGTCATGAACAAGATTCAGAAACCTGAGGCGGGGATGGCACATAGGCCCAGGAATCAGGCAAAGCCGGACGGTACCCGGAAGAGCCCAGGGACCCCATCAGAACTAACCCTCCTGTGTCTGTTCCAGCTGTCAGTGTCTTGCTGGCTTCATCAGGATCAGAGGCGCAGACTTCTCGAGGTGAGTCTATGGCCAAAGGCCAGGAGGAAGGAGATTGGGACCTGGAAGGAGTGTCTGGATGGGACCTGAAYATGGGCCTTTTCAGCCAATGTCATGTGCACAGTTCTGTGGGGCATTAAATGCACTCTCCTGCTGTGCAGCTGTCCCCACCATCCATCTCCAGAACCTTCTCATCTTCCCCACTGAACCTCTGTCCACTAACCGCTAGCTCCCCCTTCCCTTCCACACTTCAGCACACTTTCTGTCTCTGTGAATTTGACTGCTCACGGGACCTGCTTCSAGCAGAATCACACAGTATTTGTCTGTGACTGGTTTATTTCACTCGGCATAATGTCCATGTTGGAGGGGTATTAGAAGGTCCTTCGTTTTAGGGGACCCACTCTGGTATTCTAGGGAGGCTACGCCATTTTGCATTGCTACCAGCAGTGCACAAGTATCCCAGTTTCTCCATCTCCTCACTGACGCCAGTTTTTACTTTTTAAAGTAATAACAAAGCTGGGTGTTTTTTACAGAACACCAGTGCTGGCGGTCGGCAGTGGCAGCGCTGGTGTCGGGGGCAGAAGTGGGAGGGGCGGGCGTTGTGAGCTCTCTGCTCAGCAGTGAGATGGACACTCAAAAGCTTCCCAAGAGCACATTCTTCTGGGCGGCGCCTCTGGTCCATCGTAGGTGGCCAGTGAGGGAGTGCTTCCCGGATGAGTGGATGGCAAGGGAGTGATCGGGTTCTGTGATCTCTGCAGATTCCTGCCCTCCCTGCCCTAAGACTGCCGTCTGCTACAACAGCACCCACTGTGTCTGCAGAAACGGGTTCAAGTACTCGTGGCTGGGGAGGATCTTCCACACCTCCTACCTCAAGTGTGACGGTAAATGACTGTGAGGTCCACTCCTGCCACTCATTAGTGATAGCTGTGCTGCGCCAGGCACAAACTCAGAGCCCATAAAAAACCCAGAGCTCCTCAGAAGACCGATGGGTGAGGACACTGTTTTCCAGGGGACTTGTCCCCGAGTCCTTTCAATAGAGAGAGCAAGTGTCAGTCACTGGCCCAGGGCAGCTTCTATCTRGGTCTCCCTGGGGTTTGGGGGCTCAGCTCAGGTCTGTCAGCAGAAAGATGGCGGGACACACAAGACCTAAGCCAGGACCCCCCTGGGCTGAAGCCTTTTCCAGCAGTGAGCGCCCCCCCCACTCCAGGTCCTTGCTGCTGGATGGGTTTTGAGTAGATTTCACAAACTGACGCTGCATCACAAGCCTCACCCCCCCTTACTCCAGCGACTTGACATACTACTCTTCCGTACCCCAAAGATCCATATGCCCTGGGTCTCTTTCTGGACCTCCTAGTCCACCCCACCGTCATTTCCATTTATTCACGTGCCAGTGTCTCCTTGTTTGGTCGAGGTTCATGGTARTTTTGGCGGCTGAGCCGCTCCCCACCTTGCAGTCTTCCTGGTTACTCTTGCACAATAGAATCGACTTTTCTCACTCTATAAAACACTTGCACGTTTTTATAAATGTGCAACATTCTGAAGTCCTCTTTATAATGTTGACTCCTCCTTTTAGAGAACAAGAGATGTTGTTTGGTGTTTGTGAACGATGTTGGGCCACTGAGACTCCTTGGGCAGGGAAAAAATGAAATAGTTCTTTGAGAATAAAAAACACATTTTCTCCTGATTCACAGATGCTGACGAGTGTAGGAGCGAGTTGGCAAAGTGCCAGGAAATGTTCTGTAGTAAAAAGATCGGGTATTACCTCTGCGTCTGTGTGGTTCAACGCTCTTTCTTCCACTGGCTCTCTGGCTCCCTTGACACTGAACATGCACAATGTCACGGTGAGAATTTCCAAATGCTTTCTACCATGGAAAAGGAGTGTGTGTGTGTGTGTGTGTGTGTGTGTGTGTGTGCGTGCGTGTGCGTGTGCACGCATGTACATGTGCTCCTGTAACAGCTCAGGCCAGGGCAAGAGCTCGGAGCCCTCTCCTAACTCATCCGCATCCCTTTCTTGACCCTGATGATCTTTCACAAGGAGATGTCCCCAAGCCCAGGGGCATCAGTCATCCATTTGCATGTGGACGCTTTACAAATTTATGTCTCCCACGTGGGTCTCATTCCCAAGCTTCCAAACAGGACATCTCCAGTTGTCTTCTAAACGTCTCCATTTCTTTACCTCTCACTGATCTTAAATTCGATTCCTATTTCTGTCTGTCTGTCTGTCTACCACACCTTCTTGTGAGCTTGCATTGTACTCTGATTCCAGTCAATGCCAAGGTTGGCTCTAGACTTCCTCTCATTTGTGGCTTTTTTTCTCCAAAAAGAAGCAATTTGCCTCTTGGTGCCCCCAACRTAGTCACTCGTTCAGTCCTCGTATAACTCTATGTCTTGAGCTCCGCCGACTGCACTTCAGTGGTGGCTCCTTTATGTATGGAATTTGACCAAAACGAATAATCTGTCAATGGGAACAGCCACAGAGTATACTGTGTGAGTGATGTGTCGCGGCATAACAAGTTGTCCCCAAATGCAGTCACTTAAAACTGTGCAGAAATGGATTGCTTCGTAGCTTCTGTGGGTCAGGAGCCCAACAGGGCTTAGYTGGGTCCTCTGCATCCAGGTGTCTCACAGCTGCCATGAAGAAATTACCCAGGCCACGGTGTCATCTGAAGACTAGGCCGGGGCAGGGCCTGCGTCTAARCTCACTCACAGGTTGTTGGCAGGATTCCGTTTCTTAGAGGATGTTGCTGCAGCTCTCAGCTCCTCCCTGGAGGTTTGTGGAGGGTGGCCCTCACTACCTGGAGACACGGGTTTCTCTTTCTTGTAGCAGGCGAGAACTTGAAGGAGCTGGAGTCTGGGTCTCTTATAACCTGGTCCCAGAAGGCACATCCTGTATTTGTCCATCAGAACGGGTCCCCAGATCCAGTCAACAGTCAAGGGGAAGAGGTTTCCCAGGCAGGAGTCACCAGGGGCAGTTTCAGAAGTGGGCACAGGGTTCCTCCCATATTCCTTTCTATCCGCGACCTGTAAATGTGACTTATGTGTCAACAGGGCCTTTGGAGATGGAACCTCATCAAGACGAGGCCATTCTAGGTCAGGGTGGGCCCTAAACCCAACATAACTGGTGTCCTTTGACAAGAGGGAAATTTGGAACCACAACACAGGAGAAGATGGCCCCCTGCTGAGGGAGGCGGAGACTGAGTCACAGCATCACAGCCAGAGGTGGTGACAGATGGCTGTCAGACACCAGGAACCGCACCAGGCCAGGCAGGCCTCTCCCCTGAGCCTTCAGCGGAGCTCAGCTTTGTCGATACCTTGACTCGGTCAAGGGGGAAGAGGTTTCACAGGACTGGTGACCCCCAGAACTGAGAGACRGTACAGTGGGTGGCACCACGTCACATGCAGCAGCCCTGGCAAATCAGCACACCCCACCTGCCCTTCCGGTGTGAATGCATGTGAAATACTCAGCAGTCCTAGGCACTCAGGGAGGCTCGATGAACATCGGGCACTGCCTTAGGGAGKCCTGTTCTGGAACCTTCTGTTCCCTTAAATGAGACAGTGTATGTGAAGGAAACTTCTGTATGATGTGTAGGCAGCAGTTTCTGTTATTATTTGACACTGATTCCTTTGGGAAGCCTTTTCTCACTCCCCAAGGGATGGGGAGCTCTATAGTGTGCTCCCAAGTCACCTCACCCTACTTAAGAACATCGATTGCAGCAACTTCTTCGCTTACTTGTGATTATCTCCTTAATGACTTTCCTGCAGTCTGCAAGTTCCACAAGGGAGCACCGCGGGTCTCTKTGACTACACTGTATCCTTGTGGTTCAGCCTCATGCTGGGTTTTAAGTAGCTGCTTCATACATCTTGTTGATTGRATGATTGAACTGGAAGCCCCATCCTAGTTCCCTTTTAAAATTCTATTGCAGAACACGTTTTGGACTTAGAGGAGTGTCAGGAATAGGCGCAGTCTGAGGCTGACTGGAAGCAGGGATGTGAGCCAGAACGCTTTCTTCCATGTCCCTACTAATGGCTACTTTTGTTCCCCAGAGAACCAGGATGGAAACATGAACTCACAGCAGAACGTTTGGGTGAGTGAGGTGAAGTCTGGACCTGGGTCAGTCTCACCATGCTCTTCTGCTCAAGCCCTGCGGTGGCTCCCTGTGGCTTTCAGAGTGGTTCTCACAGGGGCAAAGCTGCCCGCTGTCCCAGGGGCCTTTGGAATTCTCTGGAGGTACTTTTCATGGTCACAGTGTGAGGAGGTGACTACCTGGTTGATGGAAACCAAGGATACTGCTCAACATCCAGGGTGCCTTGGGCAGTCTCCCCAAACCAGGAACCRTGCAGGTCCAGGTGTCCTGAGAGACGAGAAGCCCTGGGACGGTCTGTAGTGCCTCAGCTGCCATTGGAAGACCTGGGTCCCGCAGGGAGGATGGGCCACGCCACCTCGAAGCAGATCAGCAAACGTGGTTGCCTTGCTGGGCTCACCCAACCAGCGGTAGCATGTTCCTGATTTCTTAAGTTTTGGTGAGAGTCTAATTAGCTTTATTTCTTTTAAAAGGAAGATCTGTCGAAAAATAAGAGCCAAAAGGATTTTGCAGAAAAGGCTACCATCCTACTTAAGCGTGTGGAACTGGAAATACTGAATAAGAATATTGATTCTCCAGGAAAGGGCGAAAACCCCCTGTTTGATCTAGGTAAGGAATACTAAGTGGACTCCTCATGGCCACCATAAAGGGCGTGGGGACCAGGCATAGTAAGTGCCCATGAATTATGGAGTTTGTTATCTCCCAGGGTGGACAGACTGGCCACACAAATGACCCATCATGAGTAGGTACAGAGAAAAGTGCGTAAAAGGGAATCTCCCAGAGTAGGGCTTCTGCAGGCTTCTGAGCACGCGAGGTCAGCCCAGCGAGGTCAGCCCAGCGAGGTCACTTTCTTGCCATTTCCAGTCTATGAAACCAAGAGGTGCAGAGAGGAGACTCTGCTGGAGGCTGGGAACAACACGATGGACCTCAACTGCACTGGCGCCTTCAAGGACACCACAGGAGGTACTGGGTCTGACGCGCATCCTCCAGGCCCCGGATGCTGGGCGTTAACTCATTTCCAGGTGCCTGGCCGGTGGGTGGGGGGACTCACGAAGTTTTCCAGTTGGGGGGATCTGCATGGAGGATGAAGGGATCTCCCTTGACCACTGACCAGGCCATCTGGGGGATGACGTCACAAGCAGGAGGTCAGGATGGGGGTCCGCCGGCACGCTTCCTTGAGACSCCCGTGGGGCCACGAGCGTTTCCGTGTGGTGGTCTGACAAGTTAGCTCCTGGCCGCGGAGGCTGGCTGTTGCCTCAACCTCTGTTTCTTTTGGGAAGTGTTTTATGAACACTATTTAAAACAGACACCCAGTTTATCTCTGTCCTTACAGGTTGACCAAACTGTTCTGTAAAAGGGCCAGACAGCAGATATTTTAGGCTTTTTGGGCCAGGAGATCTGTTTCATAACTACTCAGAAACAGCCGCAGATATGTCAAAGAAGGAACACTGCTGTGCCAATAAATCTTTATTTGCACAAACAGACGGCAGGCTGGACTTGCCACCCTGCCTAACCCCTCACCATGGGTCTGTGCAAAGCACCTACGCCATGGAGGAACTTTCTAGTTAATTGTTGGTTCACTGTCCGTCTCTCCCTTTGCAATGCCAACTCCCCGGTGGCAGGGACTTTGTTCTGCTCGTGACTGTATCATAATGCCTGACATACAGTAGACGCCTAATAGGTATCTGATGGGTGAAGGAATGGAGAATGAACACAAACCTCTTCAAAGAGAAAGACCTGGTTACTCTGAGAGTGAGGAGCCTGCTAATCCACTCCGGAAAGTTCCTGGCCACTTTAGTCTTTGCTCCTTAATGTGAGCTTGGGGTGGGAGTGGGGTAGGAAAGGAGCAAAAATGAGTGGATTCCCACTTCGGAGCTGATGATGATGTCGGTGGCGAGTGGCTTTGGCCCCAAGTGGGAGGTGGCCCGTGAGTAGTAGCGGCTTAGAAGGCTCCGCCAGGCTGCGGAGCACCTTGAACACGTGGATTAAACTGTCCACGCATGAACAGGGAGGCAGAAGAGGGAGGGCGGGAGACAGGACCAGAGAGGGAGGGGGAGAGGGAGGGGGAGAACAGGAAAGGGGCGCGAAGGAGCTCATCTAGTGGAATGAACCGCCCGCATGCCTTTCCACTGAGTTGGCTGACCCAGAGTGGACCTGGAGGGTGGGACTGAGGTTCCATTCTCCACTTTCCCCTCTGGGCCCAGCATCCTGCCTCGTGACTCTGTTTTTTTTTTTTTTTTTTTTTTTGACCAGGGATTAAACCCAGGGCACTTAGCCACTGAGCCCCAGCCCCAGAGACAGGGTCTCACCAAGAGGCTCAGGGCCTCAGTAAATTGCTGAGGCTGGCTTTGAACTTGAGATCCTCCTGCCTCAGAGTCCCAAGCCACTGGGATTACAGGCAGGTGCACCTCACCTGACCTGACTCTGCTTTTGATGCCTGAGGGCTTGCGTGCATTGTTATGGCCCATCGAGGGGCTTTTTTTACGCGTACACCTATTAAAACATGACGCGAGCGTTATGCTCACACTTCCCAGACTGTGCACCCCTCACCTCTCCTAGTACAGTGCCTGTTCCACTTCAGGAATTTCCAAGGGAGTGTGCACAGCGGACGTCAGACATGCGGGTAGCAACTCCTTCAACGTGGACACTCCCTAACACCACTTCTCCTCTCTTTTCTCAGACAAGAGCATAGTTGCTCTGATCACTTATCGATCTCTTGGGAATTTTCTGAACGGATCCTTTTTCCGTGATAGAAGGAGGAAGCTGGGAGCCAGGCTGAACTCCCAGGTTGTGAGTGGCACCGTTGGTGACAAGGTCAACCTGTCTGAACCCACATTCCTGACTTTTCAACACACTCAGGTGAGCAGAACCCCGGCCGAAAGATGGTTGCTGGTGAGGATGTGGGGAAAAGGAGGCCGAGCACACTACTGTGGGAACGCAAATCAGAACAACCATGTGGGGGCAGGATAAGGAACCACACAAGATTAAAGCCGGAACTAGGACAGGATCCAGCAGGCCCCGCTCTGGGTCCATCCATGGAGGGACGGAGCTCAGCACCTGAGGGGACCTCCGCACCCCACGTTCACGGCAGCACTGTTTCCAACCAACCCCAGTGTCCACCAGCAGACGAGTGGATGAAGGGAATGTGAAGGTCACATCACGGGTGGTGTACAGCCTTGGGAAGGAAGGAACCTGCCCTCTGCCACAGCGTGCCTCAACCTGGAGCACATTTTGTTAAATAAAATAAATCAGATGCAGAATGATAGATACTGCATGATCTCACTTAGGTATGGGATCTAGAAAAAGTCAAATTCACAGTAACTGAGAGTGGAATGGTGGTCACCAGGGAACCGGGTGGTAGAAGGACATGTTGGTCCAAGAGAATGAACTTGAAGTTATAGGGTGGGCAAGTGCAGAAGTCCAGCCTGGCAACTGGAGCTATTAGTCATGCGGTGTATGTCAAAATCTCCCAAGAGAGCAGGGCTCCAGGGTCCTCACCCCAAAGGAAATGGGAGGGGATGGACAGGCTAATTAGCTCCRTCCTGACACTCACTTCATAGTGTACACATGTAGTAAGACCCCGTGACGCAACCTTAAATGCGCACAATTCTTACTTGTCAACGTWTCTCAGTGGAGTTGTGAAAGAAGAGAAATGCTCAGGCCCCCAGGGACTTCCACAGCGTGAAGCTTCCCCTACTGAAGCTGGGAAGGCCACGGGGCATGAGTGTTCCTGAGCACGGTGGGCGCTGGCGGCAGGCGGGAGGAAGGGCCACCTCGCTGGAGAGGGAGACGGCTCAGAGCAGAAAGGGAGTGTGAAGGAGGCCCTCGCCCTGTCTCTGCGCTCACCCAGGGATCTCTCAGCAGAGCCCTGGGGAAGCAGTTCTTAAGGGTCCATGCCCTGAACACGGAGCTGGCCGTAGAAAGGGAGAATAAATCAATGTAGAATAACCCCAAAGGTGTTTTTTGAATCTGCTTTCCAACTCAGGACACTGGATGAAGCTACGACGTTGAAACAGGGACACGGGAAAGAGATCCGAGTTCTGGCTTTTCTCTTTCCAGCCTGGTGGTGAGACGGCAAAGCATCTCTGCGTCTACTGGGAAGGGTCGAAGGATGGGGGCAGCTGGTCGACCGAGGGCTGCTTCCATGTGGGCAGCAATGACTCCCACACCAGGTGCAAGTGCTTCCACCTGTCCAGCTTTGCTGTCCTCGTGGCTCTGTCGCCCAAGGTACCAAGGCTCCGAGTTCCCTTGCTTGGAAGCTCTGGGCTCATCTTCTGCATAGCTTAGAAAAAGGTTCTAAAATAAGGAGTCAGGTGGCTTCCCTGAGAGGTGATTGTGAGAGACTCCAGGAGGGGCTCAGGAAGAGAAACGGGGAAAGGATAAAAGGCGGCACAGAGAAGGTTATCAAGCCAGTGACCACTGTGGTCAGCAGAGCTTATTCCCCCTGGGAGACCCAGGAGGCAGTGTGGGACACGCATCTCAGAGTCATCCTGAGTGGCGAGGGAGCTGGGGTATACACTCACTGTCGTCATTTGTCTTCAGCTGTGTTCGGGGGGCACTTCTGCAAGCATGGGTGGGGTGAGCTCAAGCCAACAAGGAAAGCCMTTGGCCACTGGGAAGTTGGTTTGGCAGCCTCTCCAGAAGGGAGGTCCAAGGGGATCTGGGATTGAAAGCAAACCTATTACCCTGCAAAAGAGGGTTACAGCCAAGCCTCCCTGGTCACACCAGAAGGCAGGCAATGACTGTCACTGATGACACACCATAGCTCTCTGAATTTCACAACCAAGTCTGGGATAACTCAGGTTGAAAGAAGCTTAATTCACTTCTTCCCCTAGGTCCTTTTAGCTCCACTGTGTAGTGTGCTTCACATACATGGCCTCATTTCATTCATTTGTCGAGTACTGTCTGGGTGCTAGACTTGTTCTGAGCATTGAGGATGTGACACAGAACAAGACCTAGTCCCCAGCCAGCCTCCCTGGAGACCAGGGCCGAGTGCTGTGCTGTTAATGAGACCACCAGCCACAGGCAGATACGTGAAATGTGGATGATGTAACCGATCAATCAAACTCGGAGTGTCATTAGTTTCATCTGTTTCTTTTTACATTTTTCATTTTGGCTACTAGGAAATTTACTGCAATACACAGGGTAGCTGTGTCCAATACCTCYATTGGGCAGTGCCCATCTGGTGAGTGGTTCTTCATCAGTCCGGCGTGGAAAATGCTCTAACTCTCCCTGTTTTGCAAACACCAAGTCTTGGGTTAAGTTGCTTGTTTCAGGGACTGGACTAGGAAGCGCGACGACTCTGTAGGAAAACAACAGCAGAGTTGAGAGCGCTAACACGTCCCTCTTGGATGGCCTGTAGGAGGATCTGGTGCTGACGGTGATCACCTACGTGGGGCTGGGGCTCTCCCTGCTCTGCCTCCTCCTGGCAGTCCTCACCTTCCTCCTGTGCCGGCCCATCCAGAACACCAGTACCACGCTCCACCTGCAGCTCTCTCTCTGCCTCTTCCTGGCCCACTTCCTGTTCCTCACGGGCATCAACAGGACTGAGCCTGAGGTAGGTGATTTAATCAAATTACCTCCTTGTCACAGTCAAATCCAGCGTCTGATCCTAAGTGAGGAGATGTTAACTAGCAGCAATGGTGTTGGGAGAGGGAAGTGTGCCTTGTTCATCTCGCCTCCTGTGTAACTCTGAGACCATCTTTCTGAGTGCCCATTTAGTGATGGTGTTAGACAGGGGGACATCACCTGCTGTCACGACTGAACTCCAAAGTGTCTGACGCTAGGCACAGCATGAGTTAATCTTTCCCTATCTATCAGCAGAGGGTGAGCAGACAGATCTGCAGGGTGCCTGACCACCCTCAGGCTGAAGGAGGCTGTTATCTTCCATTCAGTTTCCAGGGAYATCCTGTAGTGTCGCCTATTTTAGCCAACTGGGAAGGGAAAAGAGCATGTGATAGAGTCCAAGGGGGAGGTTAATATGAACTGCACCAGGAAGTGCTACATATCACTTCCTCGCATATCCTATTGGCTCGAGCCCAGTCACACGGTAGCATGATGTTGCAAAGAGTTCTGGGAAATGTAGTTTTTGGCTGGGAAGCTTTTTCCTAGAGACAAATCTGTGCTCTGGAATGAGGGGTGAGGGAGCAGCTGAAACACTGATGGACAGTGGCCTAGCCTCTCTGATCTCAACTAATCATTCTACTTGCTGCATGACCTTGTTGAAGTGACTTTCTCATCTTATTTATTTAAAGTTATTTAAAATTAACAAAGAAAATGGTAACATTTATTGTGCACAACATGTTGTTTTGAAATACACATTATGGAAAGGTTTTGTTATAGTTAGAACATGTTCACCGCAATTTAAGTTTTGGAAACTGAATCCCCAATGCAACAGTGTTACTGGGTGGGCCCTTACAGCACAGTAGAATAACTGGTTGGCAAGGACTAATTGAATATTTCAAAACTGCTGATAGGATCTAGAATGGTTCCAGCACAAGAAATGACAAATGTCTTGAGGTGACGGAAATGGTAATTACCCCAATCTTATCATTATGCATTGTGAACATGTATTAAAWCGCCATATTGCGCCCATAGCTGTGTACGATTCACAGAAGATGCAGTAATATAATAATAACAATCAATAATAATAATAAAATATTTAGTAAGAGGTGAAGCCTATCAGAAGCAATGAGGCCAGGAGGGCACTGCCCTCGTCCATGGATTAATGCTGTTACCACAGAGTGGCTCCTTGGGAAAGAACAAGTTTGTCCCCCCTTGCTCTTTGCCCTTCTGCCATGGGCAATGCAGCAAAGAGCCCTTGCTAGACTTGGGCCCTGGTTCTTCCAGAACCATGAGCCACATTTCTGTTTGCTGTGATTATCACTGTGGCATTCTGCTATGGCCGCATGGCATGGACTGAGGCTGAGCTGAGCTGAGGGACACGCACCCCCACCGCTGCTCTTGTTCTGGATGTGGGAGACGCGAAGCTGCTTTCTTGGTTATTTCCAAGCTGCAACACGTCACTCTGCTCAGCAGCYACCGTGTTGCCCAACTCTGACTTCCCTTTCTGGACTTCCCCTCCGCAGTGGGGCCTAGGTGTGGGGTTCCGGCAGCAAGGACCGAGCATGAGGAATGTGAAGAAGGCCGGAGCTGGCCTTAGTCACCATGCTCATCATCACCCCAGTCACCATCAGGAAGGACCAGAACTACAGGTTCTAGGCTCCTTTTAACCCCAAAGACTGTGGTCCTCCAACTGGAAGGTTTCAAAGCACACTTATTGTTCCTGAGAAGACAAATGCTGCAGTTAAGATGGTACATTTGTGAAGTGTTGGACATGTCAATTAACATAGTCATTCCACAATGTATACATATTTCAAAACACCCTGTTATATACCGTAAGTATATATGCTTCGTCATTTTGTTGCTTAATTTTTTAAAAAAAAAAAGAAAGAATAATTGGTTTCTGGAGATAGTTTGGATCCAAATACAGTTTACTTTTACTAGCTGTGTGACCTTGGGCATGATTTTAGCTTCTTTTGGCCTCACTTTCCTCATTTGAATATAGGGAGAAATTGGAAAAAAAAAATAGGCTTCCAAGATTTTAAAACAATGTGTTAAAAGTTATAAAAGTGATATTCTAGTTAAGATAAAGTTAACTTATCATCTTTTTTTTTTTTTTGTACTGGGGTTTGAACTCAGGAATACTCTACCAACTGAGCCATATCCCTGGCCCTATTTTGTATTTTATTTAGAGACAGGGTCTCACTGAGTTACTTATTGCCTCGCTTTTGCTGAGGCTGACTTTGAACTTGTGATCCTCCTGCCTCAGCCTCCCGAGCCGCCAGGATTAGAGGTGTGAACCACCATGCCCAGCTAATTTGGTCATCTTGAGAGTGTCTTGCTCTTAAATAATGCTCTGTAGTCACCCACCTGTTATTGACTTTATTCATTCATTGATATTCAAAGAATCCTTGTGTGCCGCTTTGTGAACAGGGAGCTCCCAGCCTAGGAAGGTGTAAGGCAGCCTAGAGGACTGTCACTGTGCAGGGTGACATACAAGGGCCTCAGTGCTGTGTCCCTGTGGGTTCCGAGGAAGCCGCCAGTGTAGATGAGGTGACTCAGTGGCAATCAGGTGGATGAGTTTGCCAGGTGTGGAGGACACTGAAGGAGACGGACAGCTTTTCCCAGTGTCCTTTGCAGTGAGGTTGGGCCATGTGACCTAATCTGGCCAATGGAAATAAAGTATTAAGACCCTGCTCTTTTTTTTCTTCCAGTTTGGCCCTGGGGATGGAACCCAGGGCTGCTGTACCGGCGAGCTGTCTCCCTAGTCCTTTATTATTTTTTATTATGAGAYGGGATCTTGTCGTCTTAAGCTTTTACATTTTAAGAGCTGGTGCTGTTGAGAGCATGAAGGTTCTTCTGGACTGGGTGTGGCCCGTGAAGTGCAGGTCTGACCCCGAGGTGTCTGGTTCTGGACTCACACAAGTGTACGACCAGCCGGAGACTCGGAGRCACACTTCACAGAGGGCTGTGCGAGGGCTCTCGAGGGTGAGCTAGGGCTCACGGGTCAAGGGCAGGAAGAAAGGCTTCCAGGGAGTAGAAACCACGSACCTGGAGGATCTGAAGCGGGAGTCAGCAGAGGATTTGGGGGCGTGTGAAGTACTTGGCCTGTGCCTTGGGCCCACTGGTCAGCTGGCTTCCTTACTGACTGGCCACCCTCCTTCTGAGTTCCAGGAGGCTGTGGCCCGTCCAGTTTGAATGGGCATCCGAGGGAACCTCCAGGGAGAATGTGRGKWGTCCATGGCTCTGGARCCRGAAAGGCCAGGATTGGGCTTCGTCCTCCAGGTTGGCCAAGTTCTGTGCAGGGCCAGGCGGTGCCGCCTCCAGCTCTGCGCACCTGTGGCCCGGGCTGTGCAGCTTCACCTGCGTCTGTGGCACCACGGCTGCCGGGATGGAGCCAGCCCATAGGCCTGGTGTGTGCTAGCGACCTGAGGTACACAAACAGATGACCAGCCGCAGCTGGCCCACAGCCAGAGGGCAGCTTCCTGGGTCCTGCTGCAGGTGGACCCAGGGAAGGCGAAGGAAAGTGGGGTGAGAGGAAACTAGCAGCGGAAGGAACGTGGAGGGGCGAGGCTGGCTCGCTAGGAGGTGGCAGAGTGGGAACTGAGGGGGTGGGGGGGCGAGTTGGACAGAAGAAATGTCAAGTGACGTGGTTAGGACTCGGCGCCTCCGTGGGCGCCGAAGTGGCGTGCTTGGGAGAAAGCAGAAGTAGCCGTGTCCTGTCTGAGGCTTTTGGTTTGGGAGACTGGTGAGGGGGTTGGTGATGTCGTTCACTAAACTGCAGCGAAAGGTCTGAGGGCAGAGAGGACATTGCAGTGGGACAGACTTGGGGACGCCAAGTCCCGCTGTGGTACTGCACAGCAGGGTGACCGCAGCTAGCACCGTGCACATTGAAAATAACAGGAGGAGAGGGGGTCAGCACCTTCCCGGCAAAGACACGCACATGAGTAAGGTGACTGACGTGCTGATCACCCGGACGTGATGACCTTTGACCACATTACACAACGTGAGCGTTGTACCCACAGACACGCACCGTCATCACGTTCCACCAAAAATAAACCCAAACTTAAGACAAGGAGCTCCCGCCCRCATTTGCTAGTGAGGTGTGCTGGGGGGACGTGGGACTGAGACACACAAGGACAATTGGGAACAGGAGCCTCCATCCCCGAGAGACGGGGGTGTGGGTGACCTCAGGATGTCCTCCACAAAGGAGGCAGTTCAGGACGGGCGTTGGTGAGCTCAGGGTGTACAGGGCGATGTGAGGAGGATCCAGGCTGGAGCCTGAGGAAGGGCAACACCTAAACACTCAGAACAGCGAGGTGTGCCCAGATATCCACAGATGAGCAGTGGGGAGAATTCCTGAACAGAAGGTGTCCTGGAGCCAAAGGACAGGAACCGTCAACGAGGCGAGCTGAGTTCTTCCCAGAGGTCCAGTAGAGTCTGCTGGACTTGGTAATTAGGAGGTTGTGGTGGCCAAAGTTCTCCAGGAAACAGAGGCTGTAGAATGTGCATAAGAGAGTAGAGAGGGAGGGATCTGCTTTACGGAAGGAGCTCCTGGGATTATGGAGGCTGTCAAATCCAGAAGCCTCAGGGCGAGCCAGGAGGCTGGAGACCCAGAGGATCCTGCCATTCGGGTCTGAAGGCTGCCTGCTGGCAGATTCCCTCCAGCCTAGGGGCACCCAGGCTTTCTTCTACGCGTGCTTTCAACTGATAGGACACGGCCCGCCCACACTGTGGCGGCCAAGCTGCTTCTTCTCATAGCTCAGCAACTTAAATGGTAATCCCATCTGCCAACATTCACAGAAACATCTAGAACAATGTTTGGCCATATATTTGGGCAGTGTGGCTCAGCCAGATTGACCCATGAAATTAAACAAAGATGAAAAAGGAGCATTAAATTTCTGTCATTAAATCAGAAAAAAATCAGTCTCTCTTTAAGCAGGGAGTTGGCGGGAAACTGTGAATAAATTGCTTTGGTTCTCTGCTGCGTCTTCCATTTTCCCCTCTTCGTGCTCACCACGGTTTCCCCTGCCTTTCTGAACATATAAGATTGTTATTCAAGCAGAAAAGGAAATGCCACTTTCCTAGGTGCTGTGATTTGGATAAGTGTCCCTGAAAGGCTGTATATATACACATAAAATTCATATATATGTATAAATTAGTAAAGTGCTTTCCAAAGTGTGGTACTTCAGATGTTTCTAGATTAAAAGTGGACACATGCTTGGAAATCCACCAGTGTCTATTGTTTATGAATGTCTTTGGCTTGTGACCCCAGTGTCCCCATCTATGGAATGTGAAGTAAGTTTGTCCTAAAAATTCACTCACTTGTATTGAGGCTGCTGCGGTGCAGGGTGCGTGCTGGCTCTCCATGGACTTGCTAATGTTCTGTGCAAAGATGCATCCTGCAGTGGAAATTTGAGTGTGAGTTGTTTTTTTGGGGACTGATCTAGGCTACATTGACCCGAGAGGGAAAATGAGAAAGATGGACAGAAAGCCAACCAATGGGTGAGTTTCCGCTATGGCCACTGGAGGTTCATCCCAGGAGGACCTCCAGGGGGCAGTGTAGGGTGCATGTGCAGAGTTTATCAGCACACTCTCCTCCATTAGGACCCTGGCGGCTGCTCCCCACTCCTTTGTTCCTGGGTATTTCTGGCCTGCTGTGTGCATTCACAGAGCAAATTTCGATGGCCAGCAGAAGTTCCCGAGAAATGTATTGCACAGGTACTCAAACTGAGACTCCCAGCTGGCACCCAGGGAACGGTGCGCGCTGAGGACAGTCAGGTGCAGCCGCCAGTGGCCCCAGCCAGCTCCTCTCTCCCTTCCAGATGCTGTGCTCCATCATTGCGGGGGTGCTGCACTACCTCTACCTGGCCGCCTTCGTCTGGATGCTCCTGGAAGGGCTACACCTCTTCCTCACAGTCAGGAATCTCAAAGTGGCCAACTACACCAGCTCGGGAAGATTCAAGAAGAGGTTCATGTACCCCCTGGGCTATGGCATCCCAGCTGTGATTGTCACTGTGTCCGCGATAGTTGGACACCAAAACTATGGCACATATACTCAGTAAGCACCATGTGTGTTTGTGGTGGGAAGGGTATTTGCAGTCCGCGTGAGCTTCGAAATGAAAATGGTGAATCATTCTTCAAACCAGTCCTTCTTGCAGCCCCAGTACTGTTTTACTTTGGCAATTCCTAGAGCAGTGGTTATCACCATCTTTGGGGTTAGATCCCATTGATAATGAAGACCAGAAAACCATTCCCCCAACCAATTCATATGCACACAAAAATTTGAATACAACTTCTGGAAACTTAGGGAGAGGTAAAGCAAATCCATGGCTCCACACAGAACCTGAGGGCAATGTGTTCGGTAGGAGTTTGAAAAAAAATAGGTGGAATGGGTTGAGATTAATTTCCAAACCACAAAGAATAACCACTGTCACAACTTTCGAAGGCCGGTGACAGGTCGGAGATCATGCTTCCTGTATGTGGCAGCTCATGTCATTCTCACCCTGACCGAATATGAACTTGTCAGTTCACTACCCCATGCACAGGCATCTGGGGCTTTCCGCACTTCATGCTTTTCCCCAGGATCAGAGTTACAAAGGGAGGAAGCCAGAATTCCCAGGCGGTGCCCTCAGCAGCCGTGTTCTGCTGCTGCCTCGCGGCAGAGGTTTGCAGAGCTCTGTGCAGAACAGTGTCTCTGAGCAGCTGGCATTGGTGGTGGTGGTGCTTGGGTTGGGAAGGGGTTGTGCGTGCGCCAGCATGTCCTGCGCGATGTTGTCCCTCTTGAATTGAAGGAGATGCCCTGCCTCTAGCTTGAATCCTGTACCCTGCCAGGATCATCCAGGAGATCAAACTGTAGGGAAGAGCAGAAGCGGATGAGCTTTTGCCATCAGGGGACGGATTGTAACTATTTTCGGATTTGCAGGTCCTATGGTTGCTGTGGCAACCCCTCAGGATTGCCCTTTTCTACTATGAGAGCAGCCATTGACAGTATGCAAATGAAGGAGTGCAGCTGTGTTTCAAAATAGACAGTGGTAGTTTAGATTCAGCCCGGGGCTTCTAGTTTGCAATCCTTGTGCTAGAACTTAGGTGTGGAAGTTTTTCTGCCCCCTGTTAGCTGAAGCTTGTTATTTTTTCCAGATTCACGCTGCCAGGTCTCCGTGTAGAATAAATTATACTACTTTTACCAACATCTGTCACGACAGGACACACAGTGGTTGAGCAACAGAGCTTTGGATATGAATGTTCAATTAGTGTTGGTTATTTTATGGTAGTAGTTAAATTATTGTTTTTTACTCTCTGTCTCCTTATGACAATCATTATTGCCATAGTAACTACATTGACGGAACCTGAGCTTCACACACAATTACATCTAATCTTTCGTACAAGTTCTGTGTGAGGAAACGACAACACTCGAGTGAGGGCAGTCAAAGAAGATTGAAATAAACGGAGAGGATATTCCATGTTCATGGATAGGAGGGTTCAATGCAGTCAAGATGTCAGTTCTTCCCACTTAAGTCTGTAGATCTGACGCATTCCCCATCCAAAGCCCACCAAAGTATTTCTGGATATTGATGAACTGATTCTAAAGTTTACATGGAAGAGGAAGAAGACCCAGAATAGCCAGTGCAGTATTGAAGAAAGGCAAGGTTGGACCACTGGCGTCACCTGACTTCAAGCCTTAGTGCACAGCCACTTAATCTCCCAGTGCTTTGATTAGTCRCACTTTACACTTAGGGAAGCCAAGACTCGGTGCCCACAGCTCGTGTCAGATGAGGTCAATGTCTAAAGCCTGAAGTCTGAGGTCTGAACTCAGTGGCTCTTTGTGCTGCTGGGATCTTGCTCCAGGAGCCTCTGTGCAAACCCCTTCCCCTTGGGAGGAAGCCCAGCTAATGCTTGCCTTTTGCTCCACAGCTGCTGGCTCAAGCTCGATGAAGGATTCATCTGGAGCTTCATGGGGCCYGTGGCCCTCATTATCTTGGTAGGTGGTAGTTATTTATGGGTGTGCTGGCCCTGGGTTGACCTAGCATAGAGAGTGTTTCTTATCTGCTAAAGTGGAAATGAGATAAAGATAAGAAAATGCAGCTCAACATGACCAAACTCCCTTTCTGAAAATATTGCCATCAGTCCTGYTGCCACGGCTTTCTCCTAGTGCACCAGCTGTTCTTTGAATCACGTAGCCCTTTGCTGCATTTGCAGCCTTTAGAAAGCCCTGCACTCATTCATTCAATAAAATGCACAGAGCGACCCTGTTTGCCAGGAACATCCCGGTTACACCTGCTGCCTGGTATAGGTTTCGGTAGCAGCCTCCCCCTCTCCGGGTGTCATTTGGATGATAAGTTATGGAGCACTGCAGGACTGAGCCCTGGGCAGCATGTGATAGACCTGAGCATGTCCCTGGTGACCCTACRGAGCTGGTGTCCTTTGGGAAAAAGATTCTCAGCTCCAGCTCAAGTTGGGTTGTTTGAAATGGAATTGAAAGAAAATTCCAAGCCATTTTTTTCTATGCTGTTTCCACAGATAAACTTGGTGTTGTACTTCCAAATTCTGTGGATTTTGAGAAGCAAACTTTCCTCCCTCAATAAAGAGGTTTCCACCATTCAGGACACCAGGTAAGAAGTTACTGGAATTGGTGACAGCCACGGATTTGTCCAGCAGGAAAGAGTAAGTCTATTCACAAACATGACACGGGGCCGGGCGTGTAGTCCAGTGGTAGTTGGTGCTGGCGTAGACACAGAGGCCCTGGGTTCTGCCCCAGACAAAAGTCAGACGTTCTTCTCATTCCTGACAAAGAGGGACAATTTACAGAAGTACAAACCGGGCTGTGGACATTTGGTGGTGGAGGCCTGGCCTTGCCTAACACAAGCAAATGCCTAGTTTCAAGTCCAGAAATGCCCCCTGACCCCCTCCCTGATTTTCAGATAGTTTGATCCATTGCTTTATTTCTTTATTCAAAAAACACTGATTGAATGTCTCCTTGGTATAACATTCTTCATATTGAATTGCTAGCTAGAGTATCAATATTATCCTTTTTCTAACCTCTGAGAGTCCACTACCTCTGGAACCCACTCTCCTGGATTGTAGAAACTGTTCTCAGTGGTGCCATCTAAATTCTCCATCATAACAAGGGTAGATACTGGCCTTTACCAATATACTCCAGCCTATGAGGTGGACATTACTCTTCCCACGGCCATTATGAGCCAACCAACCAACTGCCCCGCTTCCCGAGAGTGGCAGGGATATGGGTACAACGTGCAGCAGAATCTCYCCAGCCTTGGGCCTTGACTTTGGTCTCATCCACTTATCGACCAACTTAACATCACTTGTCCTCCGTTTCCTCCGTCCCGGAGGGTTAGCCTTTCTCTTCTTGCTGTTTCCCCATCCCCTGCACGTGTGTGTGCAAGTGAAGGTTCATGCTTCACACATGTGTACACACACACACACACACACACACACACACACACACACACACACACTCACGTGCCGTCTCTCCCAGCCGGTGGCCAGGGCAGCCCCACTCCATCTTATCGAATACTATTTTTCTTTGTTGGGTTGTGTTCTGAAGACAGGACATCACTCTCATCCAAAATCTCTCAACGCAAATTTTAGAAAGCATTTCTGCAGATCTTCCAGTAAGGCCACGTAGAAGATTTTGCAGAAAAATCATTTCCGAGGGTGGGAGAAAGCATTATTCTTAGCAGAGGTGTTTGAGAACCGTCACCAAGCAGAGGTGTTTGAGAACCGTCACCATCACCTGCCTGACCCTCAGGCTGTGCAGACCTTGTGTCAGTCGCTAACTGAAGGTTGCTATCGGGTTAGACGAGGCCCTGTGCTCACCAAACTCGCCGTGTTCAGTTAAGCTGTAGCTACTGTTGCTCTTTCCCCAGGGTCATGACATTTAAGGCCATTGTTCAGCTGTTTGTGCTGGGATGTTCCTGGGGCCTTGGTTTCTTCATGGTTGAAGAAGTGGGGCAGACGGTGGGATTGGTCATTGCCTACCTGTTCACCATCACCAATGTCCTGCAGGGGGTTTTGCTCTTCGTGGTTCACTGCCTCCTGAATCGCCAGGTAAGACTAAGTGTTGGTCTTCCYAGCCTAGCCCCTCGTCCTGTTGAATGGCTGTGTGCATTCTTGCCTTTCCWTGGCCTTTCATATTTGTACTGAGATGTTGCCTTCTATTTGAGAAGGGGGTTCAGGGGCTCCTTGAGCGTGCTGTGCCCTCGGGGTTTCACCCATTTAGCATCCTGACATATCTCTTAAGAACATGTGTCAGTCAGGATAAGGTAGACTACGCTGCATTAACAAATAGTCCTTTCCTAATAACCCCCCCGCCAACCAGTCTCAGTGTTTTACAATGATAAATGTTCATTTCTTGTTTATGCTGCATGAGTATGGCTTGGTCTACATGGTCTTCACTCAGGCTATGGTATGGCTCCCTGCCTACAATATTGTTGGTCTCATGGCAGAGAGAAAAGAGATCACGACCAAATGAGGCCTACCCCGCTTAGTATTTCTGCTTGGCTGTGACACACGTCCATCTATTCTGCTACCATTTCATTGTTCAAAGGAAACTGCATGGTTATATTTGAGCTCCCCAGGGAGGGGATGAATAATCCTCCTGTAATGAGGAGGGACACTGGAATATCGGGTRAATCTACCACAAGCTCAGAGAGACTTCATCACTAATCCCGGGTCTACCACTGAGTAGGTTGCTATGTAACCTTGGGCAGTGTGCCTGTTCTCCTTGAGCCTCAATTTTCTTATCTGCAAATTAGTGATGCATACCTCTAACTGCTGAGGATTACCATCACCACCATCCTGACCATCACCACCATCACATCATCATCACCATCATCATCACCATCACCACCATCACCACCACCATCAGCACACCATCACTGTCACCATCATGATCACTATTMCCCTCACCATCGTCACCATCACCTTCATTATCACCTGCATTATCATCATATATCAAGTCCTTATGGTGTCCGATGTCATCAGCGTTCTCTTGGCCCAAGCTCTGTCTGTAACACAGGCTCCTCTATTTCTCAAACTTCTAGGTGCGAATGGAATACAAGAAGTGGTTTAGCAGGGTGCAGAGGGGTGTTGAAACGGAAAGTACAGAGATGTCTCGCTCCACTACCCACACCAGAATGGTAAGCCCAATATCAATATCTGTGAAAAGGTCCAAAAATGGGGGAACTTGTGAAGAGAGAAGGGGAGGCAGTAAAGTGGAGGACGGTCGAGGAGTGGGGGTGGGAAGGGGAGGAGCCGCAGGATGAAACTGACCCCGTACATGTTTGGATGGATGACAGTGAATCCCACTTCTKTACATAACTCACTGCACCAATTAACAGACCAACCAGCGAACAGGAGAAGACCATCAGCGAGGGTCTGGGGACGGGGAGGGAGGGCAAGGGGATGAACCGGGGTGACTCTTAAAATGAGCCAAAGGCTCTCAGGCATCATGATGCCCTTACAGAGCTTTGGGCCTTGCAGAAATCCTAGCTGGTCTCTAGGGAAGCTGGAAGCTTTGGTTAATTTCTGAGGGATTAATTTCTCCTCTCTCCTTGTTACCTCCCCTACCCTCTGCCTCATAGGAGGAGCCAGGGAAGTCCTTGGAACTCGGTCACTGAAGACACCCTGTCCATCTGACTGATGCAGCTCCTCCCCGCTCCTCAGCTGGGGACCGAGAACTGGCTTGTGTCCACACGCTCGCTCGTGTGGCTGCACAGTGACTAGACTTAACACCACCCTCTCTCCCTTCCCATGAAAAGTCTGCACTTGGCTATTTTGGCTTTTCTTTCCAGAGAAAGAACGGGGTATGCAGGAGGTGTGGCACCCACCTTCATGTACAATTAAGTGCAACGAGGTGTTGGAAAGATGCTTTTCACTGAGGGGGAAAGTTGGTGGATTTTCTTCCTCCAGCCGTTGCCACCTCGCCTGGGATGCCGGAGCTGGGGTCTGGAGGCAGCTCACARCCCCCCTCTGGCTTCTCTGCTGGTGTCCAGGTCTTGCACCAGCGCTCCAGGTCCACACAGCCCATATGGAAACACGGAAATGGGGGCAGAAGCAGCCACCACCCTTGTCTAGGGACACATTGTCAGGAGAAATCCTGGGCAAGTCACTGCCACCACCCCAACTTTCTTTGCCAGGTGAATCTTTGAACCTACGTGTATACCTGGGCTAAAGACCATCTTGTCTCCTAGTGTCGCTTTTCACAAGTCTCAACCCGCCACGGCAAGGGCTTGGCGCTATTTGTTTTGATTCTCCACTTCTCATTTCTTCTCCAACGTTATTGATTTTGGGGTGTATTTGTTTCAGCACACTAATCAACCCATCATGGTCACCTGACTTTATCARAGGACATTTTTCAAAAATGTTTTAAATTATGACGACTGTCCACGTTAAAATCACAGGCAAGAGTCACCAGAGTTTATTCGAGGAAATTTCAAATAAATTGAAATTTGGTGGTTTGATGTGTGTTTTTGGGTCATGGACGGATGATTGTGGCTTTTATTGCTTAATGAGCTCAAATATCATCTGCTCGTGGCAACAATGTGACCAGGCTGTGACCACCTCTCCCTGCTGGCTTTGCGATTATGTGATTCCCTTAAGGTTATGGTTCAGGGGCATCACATATTTTTGAACTGTGTGCATGCAGAGCAACGTTTTATACTGTGCGATGTCAGGACTCAGATGAATAAAACTTCCAAACAATGCAACCAAACTTCCTGGGCGGGCGGCAAGTGCTGGTCCTTGGTCCCTTCTTGCTGCTGATGCTCTCTGGTCTAGGTTGCAAGTGGACAAAAAAAGCAGGCCAGCTCTCGGGACGCTGGCTTCTGTGTTGGACGTCTCTCCCCCCCACACCGAGGCTGCTCCTCTCCTCCCTCCCTCTCCCATCCCTGGTCTTCTCTTAGAGAGCCATTGGCCTCCCCTTTCTAAACCCTTTCCTTATTCAGACTCCCGAGGGACTCTGCCGTGGCTGCTCAGCTCACTAAGGTCTGGACAGCCTGACCTGCCCCTCACATGCCATGCCCCGTGTCACAGATGCTGGCACGTGTGAGTGCTGGTCACAACTCCCTGGGTTATAAACTTCTTGGAAGCAAATATGAAAAATATGGTCAATTAATTGCTCTTTGCCTTCATCTAATTGTTCTTTCCAAAGTGCTCGGCAGTATCCATAGTTCAGGCTGGATAATTGCTTATTTGGAAGGGGCTGTTTTTAGCATTATTTGCTCCCAAATAAGCAATTTTCTATTAACTAGATGCTGGAGACAGTTTTCACCAGTCGTGACAACCAGAACTGTCTTCCAAACATTCCCCCGGGGAACAAAGCTGGTGAAGAGCCCGGATGCAGGGACTGGCTCCCAGCCAACGACAAAGTGGCAGTGTTAACCACAGACTTCCGAGGTGGCTTCGAACGGGAAACTGGGGAAGAACAGCCTTTCAGTGTGCATTTGACGGCAGAATCGGACCCACAGCTACTTTCTGGGATTAAAACTGTGTAATATTAACGTCTGTCACTAGCATGTAACCTTGTCTAATTTTGAAGAACTTGGTAACTGCTGAATTCTACCTTTTCTTTGAACCGTTCTGAAACCAGCTATCCTGAAATGTTAGAAGAGGCAACAAGTTTAAAAAGTCCAAGTTGTGGAGTCAGCCTGGCTGCCTCTCAGAACACTGGACAGAGCAAATGTGGACGTGAGCGCAGTGGGCTCAGCCACCAAGAACAGGGAGACAGGTCAGTTGCAGGAAGATGGATGGAGCTGGAGGACTGATGTTAAGCAAAAGGAACCCAGGCTCATGTGTGGGATCCGGGTGGGGGTGGGGAAGCAATCTGAATGCAGAACAGGGCTGCTAGGGAAGGGGACGAGACCAGGGCAGGGCAGGAGAGTGTTAAGGGGAGGTGGTACCATCAGAGCACCTTGCGTGCAGGTGTGGCGAGGCCACAGCAAACCCACGTGTGGTCAATGAGCATTTGCTGCTGGTTGGCATTTGCACAATCTGGAAGAGACAGAAGCCTTGTAGATATGCGAGCAGAGCCTGTGAGCTGAATAGGGTTCTCAATGTCCAGAGAATAAAGCAGTGTATTTTCACATTCTCCATATTCTGTGTTCCCTTTAGTACACTGTAGGCAGCAGGATGCCTGGCTCAATAGTCATGCAATAACTATTCTTTCCATGATGGGTGGAAGTGAGTTTGTGCAAATCCGTGGCTTCTATTCCACATCCAACTTGAACAGATCCTCAAGGGGCCTGGGAGTGAACGYTGGATGAGCTCCGGTGCGCAGCGTTGGGATCATTATGTTTTCTTGGTAGGAGGCTCTTGATGGAAATTTGATTTTGAATAACTACAAAGAAGGAATTTGGTGAGTGTAATCTTGTGACTTCTATTTCCCTATTGTGGAAAAGTGAACCAAGAATGACAAAAGTCAATTTCATTTTTAACCTTTATGCCTCAACATGATATACATTTTTAGGAAAAAAATTATTTAAAAAAWTTTTTATTGGTCCACTGTAATTATGCCCAATAGTGAGACTCACCGAGGCCCACTTGTGCATGCTCATCTGGTCAAGTTCGCTCCCTCCCCTCCCTTCCCTCCCTCCCTCCCCGTCGGGATGCCCTTTCTCTACTCTGCTGGTCCCTTCTCTTTTCACGACGTTCACTTTCCAGTTTCTTCTCTTGCACGTCCACGTAGGAGAGCAAACATGACCCTTGACCTTCTGAGTCTGGATTCTTTCACGTAACATGAGGCTCTCTCGCTCCATCCATTTTGCTGCAAATGACATCATTTCCTGTTGGTTTTGGCTGAGCTCCCCTGTGCCTACTCGCCACATTTCCTTAACTCACTCATCTGTGGATGGGCACCTAGGCTGGTGCCACGCGGTGACAGTTGGGAACTATAAACACAGGGATTCCTGTATCGCTAAATACCAGGACACCCCGTGTGTCTCCGGGAGAGTGAGAGAGACGCCTGCTGATGAAGCTTGTTCAGGCAGTGGCCACTGTACACACCTGTGGSCCCCGCATGGCCAGGAGGGAGGTGGCCTCTAAGGGGGTGATCTGCATGTGACTGGGGTGAACGACTCTTCCAGACACTGGTGGGCATCCAAGGCAACTCTGAGGGAGCTCTCTAAGGTCATTAGGCATGATGGCAGGAGGGGTGGCGGGGGACCTCGTGTTGCCTGCTCCAGTGTCCTGTGGGCACTGCCCACCCCACAGTGGAAGAAACTTTTACCAAAACCCACTTCCTCTTGGAGCCGGGGTGCACTGGCAAGGAAATTGCATCACTGGTGACACCATCAGCAAAAATATGCCAGCAGTACCACAATTCACTGCACCAGACGATAGTTCACAATGCATGCAACTGATATATAGTCCAGGCAAGTTCTGCAGGCAGTTCAAAGTGGAAGAGTCTATCAATATGTCCATTTCCTCCCAAAGTAAATCAAGTCCTTGATTGAGCATTACTTGTTGAGT